TTATCTTTTGTACAGAACACTAAGAATAAACTTAAAGGAAACTGCTATTTGATGTTTTTAAATATATCCTAAGAAAACCTTTTTTAATAATAATATATTCAATGAGAAAATCAGCATATTTAATGGAAAAATTCCAAGTAGGTAATCAGGACTTCTTTTCAGAAACTTGCAATTGAAGCTTAATATTTTATACCATTGTAGCTCTTCTACATTTTCAAGTTGTCAGATGTTTCTGCTTTGTATAGGACTCTCTGTAGTTGTAGATTATCACTGACGTATCTTATTATATCTGGGTACTGAGTTTTGAAAGGAGTTGATCATGTTTTAATAAATGTTTGGATATCAGACAAATAGAGAGCTCCCTAGGAAAAGATGTATAGGCATCCCAGCAATATCTAGAGTAGTTAAAATAGATCAATATATTAAGCTGTTAAATGTAGAGACACTGCCTATAAGTACTCTAGAACATGCAACTAGAGAATATCAAAGCTTTATATTGCCCTTTTATGAGTTGCTTTTTTAATTTTAATGGCTCCTTAGTCCACACTGTCTTTTTCATCACCATGTGTAAAGTCAAATGAAGCACTAAAGAAAAGAAACAGATCTATCACTATTGACATTGGACCAACAAACCACTTAAATACAGAGGAAAACCGGAAAACAAGAACAGTGATCTTATTGAATATTACTTTCTGCCCCATCCAAAATGTATTTTTATGTTATCAGTTTTCTTTTTTTCCCTGCAACCTAATTATAGGTACCAAACTATCTGCTTTCTGATATGCACTAAATAAAATTGATATTAACTTAGTCTTTTGAGGTGTTGACAGATCCAATCTGTTGTATCTTAGTGATGGTTTAAAAAACCCAGTTGTCTGCTTCACCTGTCAGAGGAGCACATACTGCTGCCGTAGCAAAGCTGGCTTAAGGGAACATGTACTCCTGCCTCAGCTGCTTCCATGCAAAGCCCAGAATCTGAGGGCCTTAACAGCCATAATTCTGGCTAACAGCTGTCTGGCTTGATCTATTAGGACACACAGCTGTATGTCACTTCCCTTTGGCTGTTGCTGTATAAGGTTTAGGAGAATGGAATATGCATGTGAGTACCTATGACTTCAATTCATTGATTATACCTGGACTGTCAAGGCTACACTGTCAGGATATGCTTTTTTATGAAAGAGGCTGCTTGTCTAATTTCCCTGAGATTATTTTTCAGATTGCCTTTGCTCCTGATCCTTCTCATTAGCAATTTAAGGTAAGATAGACTCTGAACTCAAGCCACCAACATGCAAAAAGCAATTTCTTCTGCCAACCTTGAGAAATCTCCAGCTGAGGTTGGTTTGGTCTGCTAGGATGGGAGGATAGTGTTTTCAGTCAGTACAGCGAGATTGCCTGACCACATCTGTTTGAGTCTGCAGACAAGGCATAAAGGAAAATCTTGTGTTCTTGCCAACATTAATGATTGGATAGCACTTGTTTTAACAGTAGAAAGGTTCTTTCTTGCCCTTTCTTATCTGTTGTCTGCAATGTTTTTATTTAAAGGCTTGGCCACTTCTTACCTCAGATGCAGCTTAAATTAATCATACTCTATGAATTGTCCTGGCAGCCAAGAGGGAAAACCACATTCTGGGGTGCATTAAGCACACTATAACCAGCTGGTCAAGAGAAGTGATTATCCTGCTGTATTCAGCATTGGTGCAACCTCATCTGGAGTACTGTGTGCAGTTCTGGGCCCCACAATTTAAGCAGGATGTGAAGGTCCTTTAATGTGTCCAGCAGAGGGCAACAAAGCTGGTGAAAGGGCTGGAAGGAATGTCCTGTGAGGAACAGCTGAGGACTTGGGGCTTGTCTACTTTGGAGGAAAGGAGGCTGAGTGGCAACCTCATTGCTCTCTACAGCTTCCTGAGGAGAGGAAGTGGAGAGGAGGTGCTGATATCCCTGATATCCAGTGACAGACGTGTGGGATTGGTTCAAAGCTGTGCCAGGGAAGGTTTTGGACATTGAGGTTAGTCAAACACTGGAATAGGCTTCCTGGAGAGGTAGTCGATGCCTCAAGGCAGTCAGTGGTTAAGAGGCATTTGGACAGTGCCCTTAATAACATGCTTTAACTATTGGTCAGCCCTGAACTGGTCAGGGACTTGGACTAGATGGTTGTTGTAGTTGCCTCACAACTGAAATATTCTATTCTATTCTATTCTGTAAAAGTCTCTATTTAGAATGGCACGGGTAAGCCTGCACAACGTACTTCTGCAATGCATCTGAGGATTCTTCAAGATGAATACGTGTTTATATTTTGGCTGTCTTTCAAGTTTGTATAAACTTGAACTGTTTAACTAGACTACAGTTTAGTTCATGGTGAAAATGTATGTTAAAGTTCAGGTTGCAGGCTGCCAGTGAGACAATGACAATTCTGTGTAAAACACAGAAGTACATATACAGCCTCATAAAATGCTGCAGACTGCAGACAGTCTAGCCCTCTAGACTGTTGAAGAACTGTCAACTTTATGAGAAAATCTACAGAAATTATAATTTGTCTGTATTTTTTTTATTTCCCACTTAGCCTAATAAAGACTTTATCTTTTCTGTCCAAATGATCCTGAACTGTCAAAATGATCCTGAAGTGGTTATATTCAGGATGTACTTTTGGCATCATTTTAATTTCCATATTTCATTAAGTATTTAGACTCCAAACACTTATTATTCAATTTTATAGGACTAGCCCTTCCCCAGTCCCTCAAAAGCTAGACTGTATATTATCAACCCTGGTCTCTGAATGCTCAAAGCAAGCATAAGCAAACACTCTCTTACAGGACTCAAACAATGAGATGAAGGTTTTCTCCACATTAGGAAATGCTACCAGTGGAAATAAAGATACTAGTGCAAACAGACTGGATTTAGGCATGTTTTGTTGATTTTGGTTGTTGGGTGTTTTTTTTCCCTTCTTGTTTAGTTTAATTTGGAAGCAGACTGTCAGTGGCATAAATGAAAACCCTGCTTTTAAATAGAAAGGAGAACACCAGGTAGAAATTCACACTGCTTCAGTTATGATGAACTAAAAGGCAACAGAGCTGGTCTAACTTTTCCTCTCATACAGCCTCTAATTGAAGGAGCAGTTCAGAAACAGCTAACACCATCAGGCCCCTAGCAAGCCATTTGGAAGAGGTACAAGAGAAGAAATCTGCTATAATGAAAAGCTCTTGATATGTGGTTTATTTGAATAAAGAGAGCAGGGTCACTGTCTTTTCACAGGGACAAGAGCATTGTCATAGAATCAAAGAATCATAGAATATCCTGCATTGGAAGGGACCCACGAGGATGTTGAAGTCCAGCTCCTGGCCCGTCACAGGACAGTTCCAAGAATCACGCCATGTGCATTGTCCAAACGTTTCTTGAACTCTGACGGACTTGGTGCTGTGACCACTTCCCTGGGGAGCCTGTTCCAGTGCCCAATCATCCTCTGCGTGAAAAACGTTATCCAACCTAAAGCTCCCTGACACAGCTTCATGCCTTTCCCTTGAGTTCTGTCACTGGTCATCAGAGAGATGCCTGCCCTTCCACTTCCCCTCCTGAGGAAGTTGTAGACCGTGATGAGATCTCCCCTTGGTATCCCCTTCCAGGTTATTATTAAATACAGCTAAAAGTGTCAGTAGAAATACACCTATGATGGAAAAGTTAATTACAGATTACTAATACCCATCTTATCAAACTGATAGCTCATCCACTTTTTTTTTCTCTGGAGAAGCATGTGGAATGGAGAACAACGTGATTTTGGCTGAAGGCTGAGGGGAAAGGAGTATTTGAAAATGCTCATATTTCCTTTGTTAAGATCCCTCCAGGTCTAACCTGCTTTATTACAGGATACATTGGTTCCTCCACACCCGGATGCTTCACAGACTTACTCCAAAGCTATACAGCACTACTCCAGCAGTAAGAGCAGAAGAGTTTTTTTGTTACATATATGACTGAAATGTATGGCATTAGTTCAGTAGAAAATGGAGACAATAAAGATTCTTCCCTTGTACTCAGCACCAGCGAGGCCACACCTCAAGTACTGTGTCCAGTTCTGGGCCCCTCAATTCAGGAAGGACACTGAGGAGCTGGAGCAAGTCCAGAGAAGGGCAACGAAGTGGATGAAGGGTCTGGAGCACAAGTCCTGTGAGAAACAGCTGAGGGAGCTGGGGTTGTATAGCCTGGAGAAGAGGGAGCTCAGGGGTGACCTTATTGCTCTCTACAACTGCCTGAAAGGAGTTGTAACTTGGGCTGGGGGGGATGTCAGTCTCTTCTGCCAGGTAACAACCAACAGGACAAGAGGATGTAGTCTTAAACTGCGTTAGGGGAGGTTCAGGTTGGACATTAGGAAGAATTTCTTCACAGAAAGAGTGATTAGACATTGGAGTGGGCTGCCCAGGGAGACAGTGGAGTCACTGTCCCAGTAGGTGTTTGAGGAAAGACTGGACTTCATGCCATGGTCTAGTTGACATGGTGGTGTTTAGTCATAGGTTGGACTTGACGACCCCAGAGGTCTTTTCCAACCTAATTGTGATTCTGTGCTATGGCACAGTGCCTGCGGGACTGCCTGTTTTGCCCGAGGGCTCCATTCAGCCTCGTCCTCCAAGGGAGCGCTCGTCCCCTCCGCAGACCCGGCACGGGGGGCGGATAGAACTACAGTTCCCGGCACGCCGCAGGGGCGGAGGGAGGCGCGGGCGAGCCCTGACGGCGGAGGCGGGAGCGGGGGGCGGTCGCCTCTCGGAGCTCCTCGGCGCGGCCGCTGGCGGGGCGCGGGCGGCATTGCCATGGCCCTGTCCGCCGGGCCCCTCAAGGTCTGCATCGTGGGCTCGGGAAACTGGTGAGTGCGGCAGCCCCTGGGAGGGCGGACACTTGGGCGGCCGCCTCGGCACGGCCTCCCCTGCGGCTGTGCCCGCCCGGGCCTTGCTGTCGCTTCCCGCCCGCAGCCGGAGGGTTTAACGCCGTGGCCGCGCGCCCCTCAGGGGTGGCGGCCCTCAGGGCTCCCGGTGCCGGGGGTGGAACGAGGAGTCGCCGGTCTGTGGCGGGCTCTGGGGCCCTGCGGGTGGGGCTCGTCCTGCCCCTGGGCTCGTCCTGCCCCCGGGCTCCCTCGGAGTTTGGAGGGGAGGTGATGCTCTGATATGCTTGGAGGAAGAAGCGGCAGAATCGAGCTTGTAAAACACCCGTCTGTTCTGCGAAGAAGTTGGTTTAGGACATTTTTAACCTGGTATTTGTTGTGTGCTTTGTCCAGTGTCAGGTGACGTAAACATTAAAGATGCTGAACATTATAGTTTATTTTGTTTTCTAACTACGCGCTGCCTGTAGGGCTTCACCAACAATCCCACTTGTCTACAAAAGTGTGATTCGGGATTTCCTATGTTCCTGTTTTCCACGCCAGTTCAAAGAAGAATTGCGAGACGCTAGGTTATTTGAAATGGCTTCTTTCTCTTTTTTTTTTTTTTTCCAAATTGATTATGCTAAGGCACACTGAGAGCTTGAGACAAAGTTTTATTGCTGCCTCTATTGCTAGTTTATAATTAGGCTTAAACTTGCTGCTGCGTCTAAGAAGGCAGTAGATTTACTTCAAATCGTTTTCCGAAAGGAGTATCGTGTTAATAGCCCTTTGTTTGGTTTCTTTACCTATTTCTTTGGCTTTACTTATCTCTTTGGCTTCTTTACCTATTTCTCTACCATTCCTGATCACAGTTTTTACACCGGGTCCTTATTTACAGTGAACAAGTTAAGTACAATGTGTTATGTAAATATAACTTCACAGTTTGTCACTTCAATTCCTAATGCTAAGCACACATTATTTCTGATAACACTGGTTTTTGAGACCTTAAATCTAAACTCAGAGGAGTTCAGTGTAGAGCAGGGTGCTGCGTTTTGTTGAACCAAACTTGCCAGTCTTTTTTTGGGGTGATCTTAGACTTGTTGCTCACCCCCTGCCCACTCTGTGCACTTGGCTTTTGCTGCTGTTAAAAATATCAGCAGCTGCCAAGTTGTGCTTTTCTTTGCGGAGGGAATGGCTGGCATTTCAATGCAGCATGTCGTGCTTTCCTTGCACTAGCTTGTAAGATGACCATGGAGGTACTGAGCATTGCAGCATATGTCAGAAGGAAATATGCAGTGAGACCTAGTCTTTTAGGAGTATTGTTACTGTTGTTCCATATTTGAAACCTGGGGAAAAAAGTTTTACAGGAAGTTTGACTGCATTTATATTTGATTCACTGTGAAACACACTTACGGAAGCAAAAGGATTTGCAGATATTGCCTACTAGCAATAACCACGTGCACATGTATTTTGTTTTCACCTCATTGGATCAGCTTAATAGTAAGAAAAGCGCCTGCCTAATAGGATGAGTCAGTGGCAAAATGCCCATATCTCCTACGCTGAGAGAAAGAGAGAATGCTATTACCAGGCATCAGCTTTTTCCTTTCTTTTGAGGATAAATGTATTCCAATGACTTGTAGCTTATTTCATATTTGATGGTGAGGGGTTTTGCATCAGGAAAGCAGAAATCAAAGTAACCAAAATTGGAAACAGTAATTCTTGGAAAGATGGGTGGTTTCTTCCTCAAAGTCCATGGGGTGACAGGCACAAAACCCTGACTACAGACCACTGTGATTCAATAATGTATGCAACCACTGAACTAAATCGGACTTAATTTTGATTGTGTACCTGTGTGTTTGTAAGTGTCTTTTTGAACTGGGGCCTGTGGTCCTAAAGTGGAAGCATTTAATGCTTAAAAGTAGGTAACTAGAGAGAAATGGAAGTATTTATAAACATCTGATCATTGATATTTGAGGATTACATATTTTTGAAGCCTGAATTACAGGAGTGTGTGACTGGTGGTGCCTAAACTGTAAGCATGTAATTAGTCGATCTAAGTGTGGTTTGGCATCCCTAGTTGTTTGGAGACTGTGGGTTTTGGGGGTTCTCTGTGAGGTGATTGTGTTGGACAAGTGCCAGTAACTGTATGGAAGTCTTTGCCTTCTCACAGCCCTTTGACCTATATCTGAGATGAAAAAAAACAAACAAACCCTAAAGGAGCTTGGCAGGACAGTAACCATTTACAAGGGTTGAGCCAGTCACCTTGGATGATAAACTACTTCCAGTCAGACTTGTTTGGTCAGTTTGCTAGAGAAAGGTCACCTTAACAATGAAGTCGACTTGGCAGGGGTCACTCGACACCTGATGGAAGATCATGGGACAGGACAGATGGCTCACGAGGCGCAGGAGAGCAGCATGTTTGCTGGCCTTGCCCTTTTAGGGTTGCTCAGCTGGTGGATAAGTGATTATGTTAGGATCTTTTTGATAGGGGATAAAGTAGATTCTTCAGTGTCTGTTGAATACACCTTGGGAATGTGCCTTGGAGCCTTGGAGCTGCTTGGGTCATGTACTGTAGCCTGCTTTTCTGATAATACTTCCAGGGCAGGTTAATGAGGTGTGCACAGTCAGAATTTATCCTTCTCTGTTTTGTTAGAACCAGTTGTTAATTGACCTGATTGCCCAACTTGAACAGTAACTGTAGATTTTAGGAAGAGGTGGGAAGTTGCCAAACAGAGGGATTCCTACAGCTAGGAACTTTCTGTAGAAAAATTGGAGGAAAAATATAACTGAGATGATTTTTCAGGGACAGTGGTAGAGCTAGAGTTAATAATATAATTTGCACTTGCATATTGTGACCTCCACTACTGCTGCTGTTAGGGCAACTTCAGGAGTTTGTGGGTTTTGTGCTTTACTTTTAAAGTGATAAGCGGAAAGCAGACCAACTGTGAAATGGTCCTAAAACAGTGGCTGCAGTATAATGGGAAATTATACTGAAATTATACAGAGAAGCCAATCAGAAGAATCTTCTTGAATTTAGAAACTAAGACTAGGCAAATCTTCACTTTTTAATACGGCATTCAAAGGCTGAAAAAAAAGGCAGCTAAGGCATTTAAGTGTTAAATAGTAATGGAATTAATGTCTCACTCAGGTAGTACACACTGCCAGACTTTATGCTGGCAGACTGAAAATCCCAATTGGAGAGTTGCTGAATCAGTTATTTCTGTCTTGCTCTGTCACCAGCAAGCACAGAAAATGTGTAGAGAAGTTCAAAAGTGAAGGCAATGGATTTGCCAGGATCCAGACTTTGTATATAAATCTGTAGTAGTAAATGTGCTTTTGTTCAAGGAACTCAAAGCACTGTCTGAGGAACACATACCTGTGTGATGTTTACTGTGATTCATGCTGTTTGTGTGGATCTGAAATTTGGGGTTTTTGCTGGTGAGCTGTATGGCATTGAAGCGGAAACCACGCTGTGTGTGTGCAGATACAGAACATGAGCCTGGTAAGAGATGGCTAACAACTGTGCCTTCTATATCACTTCCTGAACCCAGGGGAGTTTTCAGTGTGTGAAGTGCCATTAGAGAAATAAATTCCATTCTTTTAAGACATACAGTTTTATGGTTTAACTGAAAAAGGTCTACTTAGGATACTATAATTTTTCTCTGCCGCTGCCTATAATGTGACCTTAGCCCTGTGATAGCACACATCTTTAATGCAGTGCAGTGAGTTGTGCCGTATTAAAAGCTCTTGAAGCAGAATGATTCTTTTTAAATTTTTCTTGTGTCTGCTTAGTAGGTTATCGGTAATTATGAGGCTGCCTCCTTATCCTGGGAAAGGAAGTTAGGTTCACAGGTTTCATAAAGTTGCATCTTTCTCTTCCATATAGCGTTGGTGCTAGGAATGAAAGGGAAGGTTGTGTTTGTTTCTCCTCTTGTAATTCTGATTAATTTCATTATTGCTTAAAGATTTGAGAAGTAAAATTGATCACCATCCTACAGGTTCCACTGTGTGCTGTTCTTGGGGAGAATAAAAGGCTAACAGTAATGGAATTGTGTGCCTGCAAATTCAGAGGATGCTGTTGCAATAGTTAAATTCTGTGAGGTTGGCTGCATAACCATAAAGCTTATAACTTCTGCAATATATAAATGCTTGTTTTGGCTTTCAGTGCCTATCAGTGTTGTACAACAATTGATGGGTCAGTCATCTTAGCAAAGAAGCTTCCCATCTCTTAAGGTGAAAATGATCCATTTTAAAAAATTTAGTATCTCCCTTTTACCTCTGCTTTGAGGATATAATCAGTTTGATTTTGGGGAAATTCAGTAACCTAAACTCCCACTGGATAGCCAATAAGCAGAAAAAGTAAATAAGGATGTTTTCAGTAAATGCTTTAGTCCAACCTACTGTAGATACATTTGAGAGGAAGCAGCCAGTGTGAATGACTGGTCTATTTTCCATTTGTTTTACAATATCTGCATGGTAAGTGGTCAAACAATCTGTGCATTTCTGATTATTTTAAAGACAATCTCTTTTTTTCTATAGCAAAATCATAATTTTTTAAAGACTATTTTTGTTTTCTTTCCTGCAGGGGTTCTGCAGTTGCCAAAATAGTAGGCAATAATGTAAAAAAATTGCAGAAGTTTGCTTCCACAGTGAAGATGTGGGTCTTCGAGGAGAATATTAATGGGAGAAAACTGTCAGATATCATAAATAAAGAACATGAAAATGTAAAGTATCTCCCTGGACACAAGCTGCCAGATAACGTGGTAAGGCTCAGAAGCTAAACTATAGTTATGGAGCAAAGGGAATATTGCTTGTGCTGTGAGTGGAGGTAAAAATTGTTTTGTTAACACCTTTAGGGTTTATAATATTTCAGACTATATGCTATTTTACTGATGACTTCGGAGATTTGACTCAGTAAAATTATGTAACTATGCAATTAAGTAAATCCAATGCACTCTACTCTCTCTCTTTTTTTTTTGGTCTCACTATTGTTTTTATGTTACTTCAGCTTCTGTATAAAGAAGCAAATGTGAAAACAAGGGCAAAAGTAACAGCTTTGACCATACCCATTAAAAAAAATTTGGCCTCAAGTTTGGAAGAGAGCTGGCTGGTCAGTGAGACCAGTATTGATGAGAATCAGTGTTTCTCAAGCAAACCTCAAAGTGTTTGCAGTTTTTTTGGTTCTCAGTTGTGTTTCAACCATGTGCAGTCAGATCAGCATGTAAGATGTAGCGTTGCCAGGGCAGAACAGTGGGACTCCACATGTATTCTCTGTTGGTGTAACCTGATAGTGGGTGAGCAGGTGGTGACTCCTGCCCCAACAACATTATAGGAAGAGGCTGCAGCAGCTGACAATTAGGTAGAGCTTTTGGGCAGGAAAAAACGTGACTTGCTGTGCATTGTAGTTTTCTCTTTAATGATAATGCTGAAATCCCGTTTCCCCAGCCTTCAGCACCTGTGGTGTTTCTGCTGTCCACTGCCTGCCTATTCAGATTTGTTCTCTTTATAAACAGGTGGAGGTTATTGCTACGTTTTAAACCTGAGTGTTGTTTTAAGGTGGTCATCAAGTGTTAGGTAAAGTGAAGTTGCCAAGTGGCTTCAAAATTGGTCACCTTCTTAAAGGGTAAAAAAAATACAAGGGTACACAGAAAGGGAATATAAACTAGTAAGTGTAAGAGGCCTGAAGAAGAAATCTGAGTGTATAAGGAACTAAGGAAAGACTACTTTTCTGCATGTGGTAATTTATCAAAAATTGGGATTATTTTGTCAAAGAGAAGGCAACTTCTTATTTTATATTTTATTACTAAAAGTACTTGTTTGAATGTTACAAAACATTTTGAATTTTTGTGGCACTAACCATGCTGGTGTCTGTGAAGATGCTCTTTCTATGATATAAAATAGCTTATTTGAAAGCTTAAATTCTTTTGCTTGTCTGGGAAGTTTGTTGCTGCTTAATTTCAGTGATGAAATGCAGTAGTTTGTAGCATTCTGTGTAAGACCAAACTGCTTTTACTTTATCAGATACCACTTGTATCTAGTGTTAATTTTAAGAAGTTATGTGGCCTTTCTCTCCCATAACTACACAGGTTGCTGTCCCAAACCTTAATGACGCTGTAGAGGATGCAGACTTGCTGGTTTTTGTCATTCCTCATCAGTTCATTCATAAAGTCTGCGATGAAATGACAGGACGAGTACCCAAGAAAGCGCTCGGCATAACTCTTATAAAGGTACGATAAATACTGTGTGTTAGTAACTAGGAATGTGTCAGGGAACCTTCTAAAACAAGATGGCTTGATATTTTGATATGAAAAGTCTCTGTGCATTATTCACTTGATTGTTCCCTTAAACCTTTCTAGGTGTAAGATTAGAATTTGTCTTGGTCATTAGTGGATTGTTACGCAGGTTTTATTTTAGGTTAATGCTTGCAGGAAGAGGAAAATGAGGCTGGTAACAAGACTTTTAGAAAGAAAGAGGGGAGTCAATATGTTTCGCACCACTAAGCTTTCCAGTCTTCTATTTGTTGTTTCCAAAAGCATCATTAGATGAAGAACAGAGCACAAGCATAATGCTTTGATTGTTAATGCACATCCCACATGCTGAGTTGATGATTTTAAGAACTGCTGAGAGAATTTCATGTGACTGAGAGGATAGTGCTCTTGTTCATGTCAAATATGATGTTGCAACAAGAGTGTCTGTTCAGCACTACCTGAAAAGACAGTTTAAGCACAGGAAATAGGAGGGGGCAGAGGTGCAGGAAGTGTTTTCACTGGAGTATTTGTAATTTTGCTGGCAGGAAAATTTTAAAATGTGGATTAGCTTATTTTTGTGGTTGTTTTTTGGGTAAGTGGGCTTTTTTCCCCCTGTGTGTTTAGCTGCAAATAATAAGCCATTCCCACAAGGTTTGGAAGATTCTGGTTTATTGTTGCTTTGTTGAGAGTAGGCCATTTTCTCAGCACACATTCCCTTGTTTAGTGTCATTTCTGGAAAATGATACATAGATGGATCTGTGCTCAAAAAGAACAAAAAACCCCTATCACTGCTTACTGCAAGCTTGTCTCTTTAGTTTGTCTAACTAAGCCCATCAAATCTGTATTGTTTTCTCAGTGTTGACCTGACATATTGCTGAGATGTATGAAAAAGTAATGCGTCCCGAGTGCTCTTGCTGCATTTTGTAGAAAAACTCTTCATATCGTAGAAGAGTAAAATAAGGCACTGTTAAAATATTTGAATGCATAGCTCAAGATAAATATTCTCCTTTAATTTGCTAATTGTGAATTTTGTTCTCTTGTCTTTAGTGATAGGACTAACTAATGAATTGGTGGAGTAAATGAGGATTTATGTCAGCATACCTGAAGTCAGGGTCCCGGGCCTATATTCCCTTGGAATTACTGTTCTGGTTATCAGCGCTCTCATGGAATGTTGATTAATGGCTATGTTTAAAAAAATAAACATGTGGGGAAATACTTATCTTTAAAGAAAAAAAAAATCCCAAACAAACAAAAAGACCCCAACAAAACAAAAAGCCAGTGCTTAGTGGAGTGGAAGTGAAATAGTGGCACCTGCCATGCAAAGCCAAGTTGGTTACTAGGCAGCTTCCCACTGTCACATTGCAACACTGCGTCTGTAGGCAGCCTTTCCAAAGAAGGACTGCCCCTTAATATTTTGTGGGAGAATGCAAAGTACATGTCAGTCTTTATGAAAAGTCGTAACTGTGCATCATTAAAAGTATCATTTCAAAAGAAATGGTAGAGATTTAACACAACAATGAAACTAAGCAATCTTAGAGGCAGGAATGCATTCTTTCCCCTACTTTTGCATCTTCTTTATGCAGGTTGTATTCATCAATGTCATATTTTTACGTCTTATGCTCAATGCTAATGCTGTTAAAGTGGCTTGTGTTACCTTTGGCAGTTAAAAGTGCAGTTCCACTCTGAAAAATACCGTTAGTAGGACATCTTGTTTCTGTGCTTTCTAAATTGTTTGACAACTTAGCGGTGTGTCATCTTTTAGTCTTTTTTCTGGTTTGTTTTTTTTTTTCTTTTTTTGGACAGACTAATCTTCAAGCAGAGCCTAAAGTCTGATAATAGAACTAGTCTTTGGGAGATAATGACATTTCTCTGCTGGGTAATACACATTTCCATTGAAACATTTGCATCTGTGTTGCTTTACATAAGTTCCGTGTCTATGAAAAAGTAACAAATCACTGTGTGGGTGTGGGGGGAGGAACCTTATACAACTTGCATCAAGTGGTACAGCAGTGAGCACAGGAAGCAGGTTAGGTGAAAGTCATTCAAAATACTCTTCAGGCAACCTCAACATGAGTCTCATTTTCATTTACCTGTTATAGACCCTAGGGATTGCTCTGACAGGTGTGTTAGGATGGAAATGGTACGGTCGCAGAATTGGACTTGCATTGCCTGGGGACTGTTGTTGCCCAGTGAAAATTCCCATGTTAGAGCCTTGTTTTTTTTCGGGGAGGAAGAGATGTTTGGTTTTTGTTCTGTCATCTATCATTCAGGATTGGATTTAACTCTACAAGAAACAGGTATAGCTCTCCTTGACTTTGTCAGAAGGTACATCTGTTTCATAGTGGAGCAGAATTTGGCACCTAAGCCTTTCTGATCGCCTTTTTTTGCATGAATAATTGTGATGTAGGTATTCACATTTTTGGAGTTGTTCCCAATACGTGTGCTTAGGGAGAGGGGCCTTACAGTTATTTTGTGGGGACATCTTTGACACTGTGAGGGGAAAAATACAACATATATATGTGTACTTACTTTCAGATTGTTTCTATATGGCTCATTAAAGATGAGAAAGCAGATCTGTACATTAAGTGATACAGATTGAAAAATAATGCAGAAATGCAAGTTTTTTTCTTAATTGGCAGGTTTTATACAGGCATTTCTGCATGTCTCTTGATTGCACCGTGTTATTTAAGGAACAGCACCTCTGATCTGTGGAAATGCAAATTACTGCCTGTCTGAAATGTCACCACTGGCAGCCTACAAGTGTATGTGTGTATATGTATATGTGGAATTAGTAGAGGATCACACCTTTTGCCTCTAAGTCATAATTAAAAATTACCAATCCCCAAAAATATCAAATCCCCAACATTAAAAAATAGTACTGCACAAGAGGTGGTATACTGTGGGAAAGAATGACCATTTTAATAGCTTGTCTGCCGTGCTCCTGTTTAAAAACTCAAAAGTATTCTGCATGTAGCAGGCTGGGAGGGAAGGTTTTATGAGAAGAAAATGGTCTCAGAGTTCTTGGTTCAGACAATTCAGGGTACCAGACTCTTCTCCATTGCAGCACTAATCTGTGGGGTGATCTTTTCTAAGATCTTCTTGCTACCGTTTTTTTCACACTTTGTGAAGAGTGCATTACAAATATAGATTAAAAATATCCTTAGAAGTTAAATTATTCTCGGATTATTCTCGGTTGTTCAGCTCACTACCCATCTGTGAATGGCTGTTCCATTTGTAGTAGTACTCAAAATTATTAACCAGGGTTTAAGCTAGTAGGGAATGAGCATGAGGGAATCTGCCTCTGATACTTCAGTTCAGATGCCTCTTCACAAAACAAGTTTTTCAGATGCCGTTTTGTGAGTTTTGGTGCAATTTCAAGTCCAAATGCAAGCCTGATTCATAATGGATGGATTGGTTATGCTTCACAGATTTTATTAAGAATACACTGATAATAAGTAGCTGAGATTCTGAAGTAACAAAGTTGAATATTCAGCACTTCTTAGAATCAGGTCCTTGAGCATGGAATAAAAACTGTTATCATCATCTAGAGCTTACTCCTTATTCTTAAGGTGCTACCTCCCCTGATTCTAAGAGGTCACAATAGCAGAAGTTTCCCTGGTAGTACATCTGTCATCTTTAGTCTCTCTCTGATTAGGCCTTGTCTCACTTCTCACCTGTTGACAAGACTAATTGTGTGTTTACTTCTTTGCTCTGCCTAATGAATGACTTTTTAGTAATTCCTTTTAATGTTGGCTGCAGGGAATAGATGAAGGCCCTGGGGGACTCAGACTGATCTCTGACATTATTCGAGAGAAGATGGGAATAGACATCAGTGTGCTGATGGGAGCTAACCTTGCCAATGAGGTGGCAGCAGACAAATTCTGTGAAACCACAATAGGTATTGTTGCAAGTTGTAAGAATGTTTAACACGTGCTCCTGTCCTCACAGTTGCACACCAAATAGCTCAAATTTCACCGTTTTCCACATTAGCTGACTATTATCAGAAGCTGTTGATTGAATTTTGTAAAATGTTTACACTTACAAAAGTACTAGGACAATAGTGGAAATAGAGGGGAGAGAAGAGCACAATTTTAATCATTCTCACTAGGGTTGTGACCATAGCATGTGAAATACAAGCGTGCTTTTTATCACCCTCCACAGAGCAAACTGCTTGATTTTATTACTGTGTTTAAGATTTTCTTGGTCTGCACAGCTTTATATGGATAAACGATTATATATTCTGTACTCCAGCTCAGATGTTATGGTCACAGATGGTACCTTTATGCATGTTTGTTTTGGTTTGATATTTTCATTTGTTTTTTAAGGTGTCAATGTCTTGTTTTAATTTCTCAAAACACTTTTTTTGCCCAAAAGCTGGAAATTGTTTTAGTTCCATGTTGATGTCTGCACACCTTTGCAGCATGAAGATGTGCCTAGTCTTGAATTTTACTGTTTCTAGATAGGCATATATGTGTGTGTATGCATACAGGTGCTCACACGTAATAGCACAGAGTTCATGTTATTTTTTTTTAGTGTTAATTTTTACAGTTTTATGCATTGTTAACTTTGTAACATCTCATTCACAGCTTTTGCATTGAACTTAATTTTGAATGGTTGAATTACCTCTTAGTGTTTAGAAACAGTTGTGAGTGGCAGCATGCTCAATTAATAAAACATCCTTGACATGCATTTATGAGTAGGTGTTTTTCTGGAATGCAGGCTTTAAAATAATTGATAGAATTGCTCCTGCTATATTCTTAATTCACCTTTGGTTTTTTATTAACTGTTTCTTTTAAAGGGAATGATCAAATAATGGAGAGTGTATAGAGAATTCATGGAATTGTTATTTAGAATCTGTTGCTGAGCAGACAGTGAATTATAAAGAAGTCCAGAGTAACTCAGTGCAGAACTTTTAAGTGCAATGTAGATGCGTTCTTGGTCCCTTAGAACAGGAATGTGTTTAGGATGGAGCTAGAACAACCTTATCTCTGCTTTTATGTGTTTTGGCTTGTGCAGGAAAGCTAAATAACATATAAATAAATTATTCATTTTTTCAGCTTTCCTTTGTTTCTCTCAATAGGCAGCAAAATCTTGGAAAATGGCCTTCTTTTCAAAGAACTCCTGCAGACTCCAAACTTCCGAATAACTGTAGTAGATGATGCAGAAACAGTTGAGCTTTGTGGTGCTCTGAAGGTAAGATTAACTGGCTGCAGATGGTACAGAGATGGAATAGTGATCCTTGTAGAAAAAAAGAGGATATTTCCATTTAAGGAATTAAACTTATTGTGCTTTATATAATACATAAAACTACAGCATAACATTTCCAGAAGAACCAGATGGGAAATTAGGGAGCAGCATGTTCTGAGAGCTGCCTTTTAGACCTATGTCTCACCATCTCCCAAGTTCTCTTTCTACATCTTTCCCTTAGCAGTCATGAACAAGTACTGAAACCGTCTGACTGGTCGATGTATTTCTAAATCTGTTGTAGTTCCCTTTTTCTTTTTACAACAGTGTGTTCACAAAAAGAAAGGGAAAAAGGAGTTGGCAATAATCTTTTGTGTCTGTTGACAAAACTGTTCCTCTCCTCATTGGCTTGAACAATGGGAGCATTCTTACCTTTTATGTTTTGTGGACATACACTGCGTAAGGTCTGTGTGGATAACCACATACAGAAATGACCTGAATAGGAAAAACATTATTTCAGACAGTTAACTCATTCAAAATTTTATTGTTAACAAAGCTGATGCTGTCAGGAAGCAAAGGCTAACTTAAACATATTCTAATTGCTATTTCTTCGGATTAATTTACAGGCTGTTTGTGAAGGAAAGGCGTTGGTTTCTTGGCACTGTGGGCAACAGTACCATAGTTGACATCATCTGATAGCTATTATGAATAATTTTTTATGGATGCAATGGTTTAGTAGATAATTTGGGTTACTTTGTTATTTCTAATGTTTTGGATAATTATTTGTCTTGCTTTGGTTTTGCTGCTGAAATTTTGTGTAAACTGCATCATTTGTTTGCAAAGCTATCACACTAATCAATGATGTCTTTAAGACAAGGAGGACTCCTGCTCAGCAGGAAGTAGATTGATAGCTATAACAGCATTTTTGTTGGCATACTAGTTTTCTTGATAATTCTGTCTTGACAGCTGTCATGCTGGAAATCCTGAGAAGGAGGAGGTTGTGGGTCTGCGCATTGTTGGAGTTGGGTGTTTTGGTACAACGTGTTTTGAAGTTACTGTATATATAACAATTTCTCGATTTGGCTCTGCAGCCATTGCTTTTAAATGCTCTGGTGATGTGGGAGGTTAGCAGAAAAGAAATCCCTATGTAAAACCCCCTGAAATTAGTCAAAAAGTTTTACAGATTTATCATCCTTTCCAAACTGCTCAGCAGGATGTTTTCTGACTAGCCTAAATTCTTGTTTGATAGAGGAGTTCTGTCTCAGGAAATTTTTATTCCAGACAAATCTTTTGAAAGTGTGCTAGAGATGAGCCCATCAAACTAAGCAGGTAGTCATCAGACACTCAAAACTCCATCGTAAAGGTCCAAGTCAGGCAAAATGCAAAACTCAGATGTGAATAGCATTTTTCTTAGATGTTGTATATACTTATTCTTAGGAGAACTGTTTGCTAAGGGTAACGACAAGAATGTTTGTTTTTTAATATTAGTCTGAGTCCTTGTAATAAGAATGTGAAAAGTAAGCATCTTTTCATATGGTTATTTTTAGGGAAAAATCTCATGTAGCTTCAGTCAGTTACGTTCAGACTGTTACATTCTTAAATATGGAAAGTTACTTCATGAAAAAATAGTAAAAATTAACATTATTTAACTTGCTGGAAGGAGGAAACTCCTATTTCACAAGATGACAGTGTCATGTGTTGAGGTACAGGTATAAAAAGAGAGGTTTTACTCTCTTTCTGTAGCAGTGCCAATTCAGAATGTCAGTAATGTCACTGCAAACTACAGCTAGGAGGACAGAGGTAAGCAGGCAAACAGTCCAGACTGCCTTTTCGGATGTGGAAATAGTAAAAGCAACTCATGTATTGGTATTTAAAGCATGAGAAATAGGACCCTATGAAAAACAGTACATTCTCCCAGCTTCTCCATTTTTCTGTAAATACCAGCTTAGGAAAAGAAGACTTTTCTGGTATTACTGGCATAATACACTAGAATGGTAAAAGCCTATACTTTACCTTGCTTTTTATTTCTGCAAACCTTTCTAAACAGGGAAGATTTTCAATGTGGGTAGTTGCCTAAAGGTTGCGAAAAAATACAGAAGGGTAACAAAGAATGCTCTGAGCACAGCTTTCCCTTACAATGATAATTTTAGGTTTGAAATTTGTTTTTGAAGCCTATTTGAATTCAGACTGTAATAATAGGTATTGCTGCTTCGTGGCCGTGAGAGGACATGCGCCTGATTGCTATTTATATGCTTATATATGGAATATCCACTTCATTTCCTGTACTTACATTTGTGACAATGGGCTGATGGACATACAGTGAAGTATGGAAATCAGTGCAGTGAAACTGCAGTCTTGTGTCAGCTTGGAGACTGGCTGAATAGACAGTGGCAGTGACTTTACAAAATCTGATGATACTGAGGAGGAACAGCTGTCTACAGTATCTTGTTTGCTGTTGAAACAAAAAGTGCTTGGCATGCTCTTCTCTGTGAGGATTTTTTTTCTTATGAAGACTGATGCATGTTTCCCGTTTGTTTGGTGACCTTTTTTAAGTGTTGAGGCCAGGAATTAACAAACTTCAAATACTGGATAGTTGTTTCAAGGTGTCCAGTTGGCTTTACAGGTGGCCTGGCTCAAGGCCACCCACAAGTTCATCTGCCTTTGCCAGAGGATGAATGGGCCTGCCTAGGAAGTGCTTAAAGTTTGTGACACCACTGTAAGGGTGGTGTGTGCAGCTGTGCATACATATGGATGTGCTTCTGGTTGCTGAGGGATGTGATACTGCAGAATAGCACAGACCCAAGGCTGTCACCTCTGAGGTGTCCTTACAGTCCTTACTGCCTGTGCCAGTGCAGGGTCTTACAGGCAGCACAGATGTGAGGCCAGACTGAGCTGGGTGCAGTCATAGCAGAGTACTTGAGAGGTAATGTAAACACTGGTGCCTGCACTCCTAGGGGTAAAGTGTACCCAAATCACTTACCCAGTGCAGCAGTGCCAGGGGTGAGTGTAAGAGAAGTGAGAACCTAACCTGTGGATGTGGCAAAACGGCCATGCTCCAGCTGCCCTACGTTCAGGGATCCGGAGAGTTAAAAACCCTCAAGTGGCAACAGCCAAAGACAAGACAGATGTGACACTTCCTGTAGGAAGGAGAAGGAGCAGCAGCTGTCCTTGTCTTTCGGGTTCCTTCAGGCCTGACTCTAAATCTTATGGCTCCAGCATAGCCTTAAGTAAAGAGGTATAGTGATGATTTATTGTTTACCAGGTTATGTAACCCAGCATTGTTACTTGCAAAGGTGGTCTTGCAAGGTGTGTTTAGGGCAGTCACTGTTGGATAGTCAGTCTAGGTACCATAGAATTCGATTGTGATAATTTTTTTCTTTTTCCTGAGCTTAAGTAGAAATAAAATTCAAGTTTTCCAGGAGCAAGCAAACAGTTTATGCTTAACCTCTCTGACAGTCCTGCTGATATTGTCTTTGATTTTTTGAGACTTCATTTGACCTCTCTCAACCATCATGTGAAGCAAGGAGCTTCTCCAAGTTTGTGTGTTAGCAAAGGGAAAGCAGGCTGTCCTGAGCTGTGATGCTACTTCAAGGAAGGCTGGATGTCCTAGGTGAAATAACGTTTCTGCTTACTTCTCTTATTGATCCATTTAATTATGGAAATGTAACAGTTGCCTCAGAAATGGCTGCTGAAGCTGTCTTTGTGAGGTCTCCATAAACATTCTGTGAACTGTCAGTTTGATAGTTCTGAGCACTGACTAAGAGAACAATCTGTCAGCACAGTCTGCAGACTTGTTGTCTTTGTTTTCTTGGTCATCTGTTGACCTTGCATTTGTGACCTCTGGCATGGTTGCAGCAGGTCACGTGCAAGTAAAAGACACTTCTCATTTGTTCTGACACATACTGTGAGCACTGCCTGGTATCAGCATTTCTTTTCCAGAGCATAACTTCACTATCCCAGTGACAAAGTAACTGAATCTATTCCTTGCTCATGTTCTGGAATAACTAGGACCAGGGCTAGCTCCAGCTTCTGGACCGGACCATCTAAAGACTCGCCTGTTAGGGCAAAGGTTTTAGTACCTTAAAACCATATGCAATATAAAAACACCCTGTGCATCTTGCTTACAGGATGCATGCTTTAATGTAAAAACCTGTTAATGCCAAGATAGGGGAAATGTGTTTGCTGAAGCGTGTAGTGGGTTTGAGAGCTCTGAATCCCTCAGGCCAAGAGGAACATTGTGTTGCTGTAATTTTGGGGTTATATTGTGGCAGGATTTTTGAACCTTTGAAACAACAGGTTTGTCTGTAGGCCCTTGCTTATTGTACTCTCAGACTCCCGTGTGTGTAGGCAAATACTGTCAGTTTTTAAGCTCATGGAAACATCGACTCTCGCCACTTGCACAAACATACACCCATTACATTTACAGGAATTCTTGTAACTTCACAAGGTGGTTTAATCCCAGCTGGCAACTTTGTATGTACCTTACAGCTGTTTTCTCACTGACCCCCTCCTAACTCATTGGGATGGGGAGGAGAGTCGAGGGGAAAAAAAAGTAAAATTCAAGGGTTGAAATTAGAAAAGTTTAATTATTGAAATAAAGTAAAATATAACAACAACAACAACAATAGTAATAGTAATTGTAAGGAAAAGGAGAGAGAGAAAACCCAAGAAAAACAAGCGATGCACACGACAATTGCTCGCCACCCACCATCCCTGAGCAGTGATTGATGGCTCCTGGCCAACTCCCCACAGTTGATATACTGGGTTGATATACTGGTTCTATGGTATGGAATATCCCTTTGGCCAGTTCAGATCAGCTGTCCTATGTTCCCCCTCAGCTTCCTGGGCACCTCCTCACTGGCAAGGCATGAGGCACTGAAAAGTCCTTGACTTAGAGCAAGCACTGCTCAGCAACAGCCAAAACCATCTGCAATGTTATTCTCATACTGGATTCAAAACACAGCACTGTACCAACTACTAAGAAGAAAATGAACTCTGTTCCTACTAAAACCAGGACACCTCAGGTGTAGGCTTTGGCAGTGGCAGCGTCCTGGATCAACCATATGATACAGAAAGATGTTTTTGCCAGATCTTTACTTGGTTCTGCCCCCTGCAGGGTGCTTCTCAGAGGATCACTATAGTGCTAGTGCCGTTAGGCTCTTGTGTGTCAATTTGTCATTTGGTTATGCATCTTCCTGAAACAAACTCGGCTTACTGCCTACACCCAGAGATTTCAAGTACCAAACTGCCTGTTTTGGTCTTGTTTTGGTCTGAAGGATGACTCAGTCTTAAGTTTTGTGAGATTTTTGTTGTTGTTGTTTTGTTTGGAAAAGGAGAGGCTCAACTTTGAGTAAAGTGTAACTTTCAGTGTGGTATAATTAGTTCTCTCCAGTGTATTAGACACAGGACAGTTGTCAGAGATTCTTCAAGGATTTAAATGAAACCAGATGGTAGACCTTGTGAATTCATAGTTGGGACCTGAGGGTTGTGTAGACCAGGATATAAGAGTCTCCTAGACCAGGATATAAGTCTGCTAGTCATGGGTGTGTGTTCTAGAGCATAATCAGTTGTCTCGTTTCCTCATTATTTGCAAACTGCATTAAGCACATACAATGGGGACATTGTACAAACAAGAAGCTTAGTGTTTTAGAGTTGAACTCATAGCTTCCTTTGTTCCCTACACCATTTTCTCTGAAGTAACTAGTCTTGGTATGACTTGGTTAAAAGAGTATTTCTGTTGCTCCAAAGACAAATGTTGCAGAAGGTAGAAGTAGACAACAAAATACCATAGGCCAAACTGTATTGTATATTATGATCAGGTAGGCTGCTTTAAAATGGAGAGGAAAGTCAAGGAGACAAAGTTGGAGGGAATGGGAAACTTTAGTACTGGAGTGTTCAAGAAGTTTATGGAAAAAGCTCAGAGGTTGCTCAGATATGTTTTTGGTTTTTAGCTGAGTACTAAATACATGCAGACATCACATATGTAAAATGCATTTAAATGGGTTATCCAGTCTGAAAACTTCTTAAATATCTGTTTGACTTCCTCTCGCTTTGCCACCAAATGAACAAATATTGGAGGTGACTCTGCAAGAGGTGTCTGATGAAAACATACTATCACTGAATCACCACAGCTAAGATTTAAGCCAAGGTGATCTAAAGTACCAGTTTTAAAAACTGACTGTCTTTGGCTGCTTTGGGTTTGATGTTGAGAGATCTGTCTGCAACTTTTAGGGTCACCTTTAGGGCTCAGCTAGCTGCTCAAAAAGCAGTGACTCATCCTCTGACCTCATTTAATTCGAAGTCACCTAGCCATGACTGGCCACACAGCTCTGCAGCTGTCTGGCATTTGTGGTTCTTACAGTCCAAAAAACAAAACCAAAACAGCTGTTAATCAGTTGGTTGCTTTTATTAGCAACTTCTGACTGTTGCTCTTTCTTCATCAACAGTTAAAGTTGGTTTGGTTGGTTGCTTGATTTTATTTTTTCCCTACATCAGGTGCTGCATTAGGTGCCATAATGTTCATTCTCCTGTGCTTTCTGTTGAGGTCACTGCTGCTGCTGCATGCAAAAAGATAGTACTACATCCATTACTTTCTTGTTTGCTTTATCAATATGCCAGAACACCATCTTTTCGGGGGGGAGTTGGTACAGTTTGTTGTGGGGTTTGGGTTTTTTTTGGTAGGAGCAATGGAACCATGGCCAGTCTCTGCTCTGACTCCCAGGCTAGAAAATAGTTTTTACTTCACTCAAATGTATCTCATCTAATTCTAATGTTCTTAAACCAAAGAAGAAGTCATATCGCTGATTGTTCGTGAAGAAACAGCACATTCTTTGTAGAATGCTCTCAGCAGGTCTAAGGAAAAAAACAAACACTTTTTTTGCTAAGAAAGTTTATCCTGTGTCATGAACCTTCTGGGAATCCTTGATTAACTGTTACTGTTATAGGAACTCTGCATACTTGAAAGGGCTGGTTACTATTGATTTGACTGAATTTGGTCCCTTAGGATGTCATAGAAGTCAGTGTTTCGTAGAGTTACTTAATCATAAAGAAAATCTGGATAAAAGAACTATGGAATGTAGGGGAATGTTTACCCCTACCTCAGGGCAGGAATAGTTCAATCTAGCTAAAACCTTGTTTGGGTGTAGCACAACCTGTTCTTAGATATAGTCAAAAATAATAGCTGTACAGCCTTGGGGGCAACTTGTGCCAGAGCTTTAACTATGCTTTTATCCTTGGAAATACTTAGTAATGTAAGGCTTGCCATATTTTTTTTTTTAAAGTTATCCCATAGAGATCAAAATCTCCAAACCAAAATAACCCAAAACAACCTAGTCTTTCACTAGTAAAGAGTTTGCAGTTCTTAAAGACATCTGCACTCTGTCTTTTGGTGTCTTCTAGGATTCCATAAATGATAATTGACTCATTTCCCATTTCTCCTCTCATTAGAATGTAGTAGCAGTAGGAGCTGGGTTCTGTGATGGTCTTTGCTGCGGTGACAATACCAAAGCTGCTGTTATTCGCCTTGGCCTAATGGAGATGATCGCCTTTGCCAAAATATTTTGCAAAGGACAGGTCTCTACTTCCACTTTCCTGGAGAGCTGTGGCGTTGCTGATCTCATCACAACGTGTTACGGTGGCCGGAATCGACGTGTAGCAGAAGCAGTCGTTAAAACTGGAAAGGTACCTTATTCACTGGGTGAAATCTGTGGTTGCATTCCTGGTTTGTTGGAGCAATAGTAGAGGTGTCTGAGTCATGCTAGCTCTACTGAGTGAGTACCCTTCTCTTTCCTCTTGTTTTTTGAGTGTAGAATGAGTGTAAAGGTGTTAAAAAGGGCAGAGGTGGTTTAAAAAAAAAACTCAAGACTTAAGATGTTGGGAGATGCAGATTTAAGAAGGAGAATATTGACAAACAAGAATATAGGAGAATATTATATATGCTCCATTAAGGTCACTGTTGAGAAAGAAAAACCCTCAGTAACTTTTTTTTTTTGTCTAGATGATGATGTCAAGCTTCTGAAAATTTCATCATAGCTCTCCTTTCTTTTCTTTTCCCCTCTGTTGATTAGTCTATTGAAGAATTAGAGAAAGAAATGTTGAATGGTCAGAAACTGCAAGGACCACTGACTTCTGCAGAAGTGTATCGCATCCTGAAGCAGAAAGGAGTGCTGGAGAAGTAAGAACAGATAAAACAACTTCCACATACCCCTTTTTTATCTCCATAATTCTTTCTGCGTATTTGTTTTTGATATCTTCATAAATGTAATAGCCAAAAATAAAATCACTACAATAAGAGCAGCTTAATTCCTAGTTAAAATCAGAGAGAGAAGTGAATAGACCCTCAAAATATCTACTGGTGTAGATAGAGCTATTAGTGGGACATTAAATTTGTGAATGCCCTTCTGTTTGCAGAATGTATTATTGCCTTCTGCTACTACGGAAAAGCACAGCAAGTGTGTTCTAACATGTGAAAAGAATAAAATGCATGAAAACAGAAGCAGGGATTCCTGAAGAGACTTGTGAAAAGGCTCTAGAGCTCATTTCATAGTAGGAAATTCATTACTTACCTCCAAGTAGAGGAGCTTTGTTATAAAGGATCTGTATAGGTTATCATCTGAATAGAGTGCCTGCTTCTACCACATGGATTTTTAGCTTAGACACCACAGTTCTCTTTCGTAATGTGACTTCCAGTTTGCTGTAGGTTAACACCTGCCATCTGCTTCTGTAGGTCAGGGTTTTTTTGTGGTATGAAATCAAGCAGATTGTCCTGGCTTTGTTCATTTGTGTTTGAGTCAGAACATGTACGGTTCTTAGAGCCACACACACAGTTGTCTCCTTGTGAGATTAAGGGATGCATTTATCTGTTCCTGTTTGTAGAAGAGGCAAAATCAGGAAATAAATAACTGCCAGTTAGAAGACCAAGCCTTGTTACTTCTTTTTCCAAAGCAGTTTTTAAAGTCTAGTTTTAATGGATCAGCTATATTAAATGATTAAATTTTTAATATTATCTTTGGATGTAAGGCACCTAAGTTTGTTCCCTCAGTGTACAGTAAGTAAGCCAACTGTAGAAAAAGTGTAACTAAAATGTTGGCTTCATTCTTTGCTGTTTATGATTTCCTAAATGAGACAGGATGATGTGTTTGAGGGGTTTTTAGGTTGCTTGTTTTATATCCTGTTCTACCTTACAACAAATAGAGTGCATTATAGAAGAGTTCAAGTTGTGTTTTTAATGAAAGACATGAAAACAGAGTGTTGCTAATTTCTTTCTGGTATGCCAACATATATGTGTCAGTTCTTCATAAAAGATCTCATTCAACAAGGCTTTTGAAAGCAACTTTCAGTGTGTTTTTCAAAAACTACTTTAAAACACAAAACACAGTGAAGCAGCCATGGTTTCAAAGTGAAGAGGTAACAGTGTAGTAAGAATAAAATTTCATACTCTCTTCCTGCAAAAGGAGTCTCAACACTGCGCAGACATGTACTAAAGTCAAAGTTCAGCAAAAGAGCCTTGGTAGCAGGGTTAATGCCTATTGATATTAGCAGTGCAATTACTTTCTTCATTTCAACAGTTATAGACCTCACCCTCTTGATGTGCTCAGGCATAAGATGCATTTGGAGTTTGCTGGCCCTGAGCCTGCAGTCAGCCTTGGTACTGGTTTCCCTGTGTGAAGTGGGGCAGGCCTGTACACAGCAATGTGCTCTGTGATAAGCAGCAGGACTTCAGTTGTGGTTTCTAGTCGTGGTGCTTCTTCACTGAGAAGTGACTGCCAGTACTGTATCTCAAGCTGTGGGAAGCTTGCTTTTGCTTCAGAAGGTTCCCATATTTTGTGACTGCCTCTCACATAGGCATAACAAATTTTATTGGTGCCTACATTTAATGGTAACAGAAAATTCAGCCCCTCTCCAGCCCAAAATAACATAGGAAGTCAATGACAAGTGAGATTTGTTAAGAAGCTCACAAGTCTTTGTGTAAATTTTTTTTCCTGCAGATTTCCTTGTAAGGGTTTTGCAACCTAAGTAGTGTAGCCTTGGATTTGAGAGATCAGCTATGTGGCTATATGATAGGTTTCTTTCTACCGATGAAATAAAACCGAAAATCAAGTCAGTTGGATTGACCTGAAGTAGTTTTTGCTATTGCTGCTATTTTTGTCTGTTCTCCACAAAAATAAATCAGAGGAAACGGACACGCATTTTGCAGTGGAACATTAAAATGTTTCAGGTGAAAATTAACTTCTACATTTTGAGTTAAGCACTTGTAAAAAAGCCATCAGCATGTCCATTCCCCCACTTTTTTCCCCAGTAATGGGGAAATGTTGCATTAAGCCAAGTACAAATCCTGTATGTGCCCCTGAGAATGCAGTAGTCACGCTGGTGTGATGGTACTCCTGGATGGTTCATGGCTTCTCTTGTGACCTCTGGCTCACTTTGAGGAGTCTAGTTGGGAGCGATGTGCTGACACCAGAGTTGCTGCAGTAACACATGACAGCAGAGTGTATGGGCAAGCATATGTGGTGCTCAGTACTGGCTGGGGTGCTGCTCAACACTGAAATGTGCATTGCATAAAGGTTTAGAGTGACTGATGGGACAGCTTTCCTAAGGAGAAAGTCCTAGTCCAGATGTATTCTGAATCACTCAGAAATTAACTATTTCACTGTCTCCAGTGCTCCTTATAAAAGACCACACTGAAATGGCATATGTATTTGAACAGGTAATTAATCCCTAAAATTCATCAGGCTTTGTATACAAATGGCACTTGTCTGGCTGTCACTGTCCAGGAAGTACAGAAAGCAAATACAGATTTCTGTAAAGTGTCTTTGCTGTAAGAAGCCTTCATATTATCAGAGAAGCCTGAATAATTTGGGGATTGTTGGAAATGTGGCCAATTTAAAAAAAAAAATGAAAAAAGTAGATGGGAATTTAGTGTTTCAAAATCCAGGTTTCATTTTGGGTTCTTATTAAAAACTTGACCTTCAATGTCTTTTTGGGTCTCTTTTTGTCATATTCTGTATTATCAAATTGTTGCTCAGAAGTAATACATAACCAATGTGCCAGTCATCCTTTTTTAACCATAGATGAGTACAGCTATAAGAACGCCCAAGAAAGATATGAGTGGTTTTAATTTATTTTTTAGATCACTTAATGGTTTTGCCATACATAATGAATGTCACAGGCTCCATTACAGCCAGCTGGGCTTCTGAGAGTGACTCATGGAGGTTCTGTATTTATCTAGTGCTTTTCAGCCCAGTGTTATCACTTGACAAGTAGAAAAAAAAAATTGGTTTTTTCCATCTCTCCTTTTTCCCCTCCCTCTTCTCACCCCATTTTATTTCCTTCATTTAAGAAAACGTTACAGAATAAACTTACGCTGCCTTTACTTTTCCCACTCTTTCCTCAGGTTTCCGCTATTCACGGCTGTGTATCAAATCTGCTATGAAGGGAGGCCTGTCGGAGAGATTATAACCTGCCTTCAAAGTCATCCAGAGCACGTAAAAAATCAGTCAGGCTGTTGAAATAATGCAGCTTTCTGCCTTTCGAATTTATGTCTGGGTTCAAGTGGATGTATCTATCATTAAGCTTCGTTCAAAGCCACTCACTAGGCAACAGTAACAACATGAATGTCTCTGAAGAGGTATTGTTTTGTGTTATACAGCCTAGTTTGACACAGCATGCAGTGTTGGCTTGGTGATTGTCATTTTACTGGCTAAAATGCAACTGGTTTAAGATATGCAGTACAAAAGTTGCACTACATACCTGGTTTATATACACAAGTGTACTTTTGAGTGTGTTCCTACACCATAAAATACAAGGTTTTGTTGTCTCTGGACACTGTGGGAAGAATCCCACTGGTTTTGATCAGAGACTGAATCAAGCCTGTAACCTTGAAATATTGGAAATGTTTCTATTAGAACTTGGTTTTATTTGTATATGCAGTTAAATTTTAACCTTTTGCATGCTTATGATTATATTAATTTAAGCAATGTTAGTGCAAAACAAGTTATAGCAGTTATTCAGGGGGCTACAGGGATATTTTAATGAAATCAAATGAAGAATATTTTGATTTTTGAAAGTTGTTAAAACCGTCAGGTTGTTTTGAAGCCAATTTCTAGGTGAATTTAAAGGTTTTAATTACACTGTTTTAAAGGGAATATTCTAGAGGGGGATCATTACCTCCCCTTCTGTTTTTTAATCCTTGCATTTTTATATTTCTCAGTTTTTCCCTGACTGTTCCTGGGTGTTAGGCTCTTCTAGAATCCCATTCCCCAAAGCAAGCCAGAGATGTTGACCTGAGGGTTCTGAACCCTGGAGCCTGTGGTTCATTTTAGTGTTGTACCTGCGGTTGTTCTTCACTGGCATTTTTGGGAGGATGGGGAAGGATACTCTTGGGTATCCACTGCTCCGAATTGTTCTGCTGGGTTTCTAGCTAAGCTGCAAAGTGTTGCACTCCACAGAACACTCCAAGGAATGCTAGAGGAATTCCGTGGTATGTCATGCTTGTGTAGTCAGAAGGGTTGTGTGCCAGTAGGATGACTGCATTCATTTCAGTGCCTGCCAGTGACTGACACGTCAACTGGACTGAAGTCCTGATCCAGCCTCCCCAGTTCTGAAGTTACTCTTTCACTGGACGAAATTTCAACGGGTGCTGAAATCCTTTATGACCCATCTCCCAGAAAACTTCTCAAAGGCATCTGTCTCTTTTATTCCCCAGGTATCTCAACTGGTTGGTTTTTTTTCAGACACCTTTGCTGTATCAGGGAGGATAATTTTGGTTCTGGAAAATTTGTGATTTTATGAAGTTTAGGGGTGGGGTTGGCTTGGTTGGTCTTTTTTTTTTTACCTTTTAAGGTTGATGCAAGAGAAGATGGATTAAAAAAACCTGTTTTGCTTTTCTTGTGTACTAAAGTCTGGGTGGTTGTTTTTTTTTTTGTGAAACATATGCTAGGTACATAAAGAGAGGACTCATTTTTCCAGCTGGTAGACAAGGGTTGACATCAGGATTTACAGAACAAGAATGTCCATCTGCTCTGAATATCCAATCCTAACGTCTGAGCAGTATCAGAGCTGTTTTTCATTGTTCTCAGTGGCATTTTTAGACCAGAAGTCATGAGCACGAACGCAATCAATTTTGTCATTCAAAACTTGCTAAAACACAGGAGATGCCTGGGAATAATTGTCATACTTAGGTAGCCTGGATTACTCTGAACAAGGCAAGCATTAGGGCAGCTTTCTGTAGGCAGGAAGATGCTTCAGCTCAGGGGTACCATTTTTGTGCTCCTATATTGTTTTGCATTAATTTTTGGGAGATCTCACGAATGTCCTCAGATATTCAGGAATGTCAAAAGTTCTTTTGCCTTACTTCTGATTTAGTGCTAAATATAACAGATGGCCAGAAGTTAAGTAACGTCAGATGTTTGTGGCAGTTGGGAACATCACTGGTAGAGCTGACTTGGAGCAAGCACTCTGCTTAGGCATTTAAGAGGAAGTTTTGAGGTTGGAAGCACTGTTAACTAACGCACACATGGAGCATACACTCCTCATTACTGCATAACTTTCAGTGTGTTTTCTTATGCTTTGTTTTGTTTTGTTTTGGGTTTTTTTAATACCAAATTGATTGGCTTTTCCTTTAATGTGTACATACACATTATATATATAAACTTTTTTTTTACATGCAGTATATAGAACAGTAGCATTTTGTAAGATACATAAAGGGCTATATAAGCTAAATGTGGTAAATTAATATATATTTTTAAATTATTTCTTTATTATTCCAATACTACTTCTACCACTGAAACCCCCAAATCTTAATTGTTCTTGTTCTTATACAGAAGCCTATATTCTAAGGCAAATCCAGAGAAAAAGTTTTTATGGAATTCTTTCCTCCAGTCTGTTATGATATTCTTGGTTTTTTTCAGACAAAAAGTGAGGTTTCAGTAACTAAAATAGTTTATTTTAATTTCTATAGATAGTTCACCATTTGCGTTTGCTCTTTAGTGCTTGAGAACACTCAGCTTGGCACTGGGTATTTTCCCCCCACTAATACTTCCTATTCATTAAAAAACTGTGATATGGTACTGGAACTGAATGATTAGAGTCCTGTTTTACAAACACTCTGTTTTGCCTAGTACTGGGATAGTCTTACTGAAAACATTAACCCCTGTGTAAGGGGTCATAAATTTGTAACTAATTCTTGGTTTACGAACATTCATTATTAAGGAAGACATTACATTCTAATGATACTTACTCAGCTTGCCCTAGACATATGTACTGGTCTTGTTCAAGGATGTTGAATGTACACCTGTTTGAAGAGTACAAATAAACATGTTTGTCTTGGGAATCACTTTGGTTTCTGTTGTCTCATTTTACATGGTTTGTGATTAATATTTTATTCACTTGATGGACTGTAGGTTTTTGTGGATATGGGATGTAATGATAGCAGATATGAGGCTACCGTGCAAGAATGTAAATTTTAAAAAGAGCTATTTGGCATTCAAATGTCACCATTTTGTTTCTGTCCATTAGGGATACAATTACAGTGCCTTTGACCTCTGAAAGCAGGTTCTTGTCTTCAGTTCCTTGAGATGCTGTGGGAGCCACTGGAGGGCACTGGTTGGCAAGTGACTGATTCTGCCTGCTCTGCAGTTACTTCTCATTTATTTCTGAATTTCCTGAGGTTCCTTTGTGGTTGCAGCTGTCCTACAGAGTGTTCCTTGTGTTTGGATATGATTATAGTTGAGCACCAGGTGCATGTGTTGTAGATCCACTGGAACTGAGAGAAGGAGCTTGCTATAAAATGCCCAACACCTCTGCCCACGGCCCTGGCTTGCCTGTCGTCATCTCAGACCCTCCTAGTACAGGGCAACAGCCACTACCTCAGCTCTTGGACAGTATGGTGGTCTGTGAGATCTTGGGTTCCTGTATTGTGTATTCAGCAATGTTTGTTTCTGTTGTATGTTGGAGTTGAAAGACCTTGGGAAATAAGAAGAGTATATTGTGCTCAGTTTTGTCAGTTTGTACGTCAGTGAAAGGGGTGAGAGGTGTCGCAAGTGTTTAACAAGGGAAAGGAAGGTCTGCTACTTAGTGTGGGGCATCATACTGTAAAAGAAGTATGGGTTTTTTGGTGAACAGAATAATGCACTGTCTACTGAAAGCCTCGAAGCATTTCATAAAATGAGAGCAATGTCCTAGTTCCTCATTTACACATACAGATACTGAGACAAGTAAAGGTGGTTGCCCAGCAAATCTGTGACTGAATGCATTTTATTCCTAATTTTAAAACAGAGTTTCAGCCATTAGGTCATTTCATGAAATCAACTAGTAGAATAAATATGTAGGTATCGCAAACATACCATCCAAAAGGGCTTTAATTCTAATTAGCCTCAGTCAGCAGGAAAGTAAAAACCATCACAAGAGAATTAGGATGGATACCTTTGTTTCATATTATCTTCTGAAGAGGTGGTGCTTTCTCACGAAATCAATGTGTACAGGCTGGGTGTGTCTCATCCTCTGACTGTAAACAGCAGCCAGGCTGTACAAGACACATGACAGACAAGGAGTCAATTTCCAATGGCCTCTGCTGATGATTCTTCATAATGTTCCCAACCTGGACTTCATTGTAAGGCTGAAGTCATATGGATGAAGTACACAGATTTCACAGCAGCTGGTTAATGCTAAAATAAAATGCTGTCCTGGGACACATGGAACTTTATAGTATTAGAAAGTGTAAACTATTTATCTTCTCCTCTCTCTTGGCCACGTGGAGTTTTCTCCTGTGATTTGCCATGAGCTGCTAGGAATCTGAGCTCTAAAAGGTAACACTTCTATTTTGAATAATGGATGGGAAGATTATCTGCCTTCAATCCCAGCATGTGCAAAGGAGAGGTGTTTGGCATTCAGGTTGAATGAAACCTGGTTCTCTTTTAGGTCTCTTCTAACTTGATTTTAGATCCCTGCCAATATACTTTTGGTAGAGGATTTCAGATACTCTTGATCTGTCAGTCTAGTTCTGCTCTTATTGAAAGCAATTGGAGAACTGGATTTTAAGAAGAGAACAGTAGGGTGATGCCCAGCAGAATGGTGTCTCTGTCGGAGTTCCCCATATCTAAACTGGATTTAGCTATTTGTTGTATTTACCCATTACCTACAGTATCTGTTTCAGAGAGATTTAATGAAGGGCAATTGTAGGGACATTGGGAACCATATGTTGATTATTTCTGTAAGTTACTAGAAACAGCATGAATTACTGATTTTAAATGTATGTTCTTCCTGTAACTCGTGCTGAAGGAATCATTCATTGATAAATAAAGTACTGCTCTGACCTGTGAGCAGTCTTGATTGTTTAGGTGGGGGTAGATGCCAAAGTCTTCTAAGTATAATTCACATTGCTCTCTTGTGATGTTACTTCTGCTGCCTGTTGTTGCTACACTGTGTGTTTCCTTTTCTCAGCTGGATGACAGTCGTTTAGTGTCTTTTACCCTACATCTTTTCTTCATGTCTGTTCCAGCTTCCTTCTCGTCTTTATGTATCTGCACCTGTATGTGCTGTTCTTTAGTGAACCTTAAGAAGGGGTTTTCACATCAGAAGGTGGGTGTGTGTACATGCACGCACATGCTTATCTACCTGCCTTTTCTTTTTTGAATGATTGTGTGCACAAATAAGCCTTGTAAGGGGCTGGGAATTTTGCACAGGATTTTAGCAAGGCCACCAAGAAGATTGATGTTCAGCTGCCTTTGTGTGAGCTAATGCCTATCTATCCATTAAAAGCTGTTTGGCTGTGAAGCTAGTGCATAGATTTCTTCCAGACTATCCTCAGTGTCTGGGAAGGCAGTAAGTCAGCTTGGCATAATCAAAACCATTGCTAGTATTTTAGGGGAACAGTATCATATCCATGCTACTGGTTGTTGAAACTCTGAAATGTCACATTTGTAAAAAATAGTGCTTATTTTGTGTTCAGGTGAAAATAATAGTGACATTAATTGAACTAGTTTGCCATTTCTTTCTCCAGATTTAGAATCATTATAAACTCCGGTCTTGTCATAGGAACACACTTCAGCTCTCAGTGTGATAGATTCTTTCTGTATGGTTTGTGTTTTTGAGGACTTAGTGAATGCCTTTCAGTTTGATGATTACTGAGCACAGGCATATGGTAGGCTCAGAAAGTACAGCATTGAGGATTTTTAGCTTGCTTTTTAGCTTTTTGAAGGCTGGAGAGAACTGGAAAGCAAGCCAAATCTGTTAGCAAGCGCTGGCTGGGTTTCTGATCTACGTCATTTTTAAATACTAGTATTTAAAATGCAAACATCAAACACAAGCACTTGCATCTCAGCTGCTCAGTAACTGAGCCTTTTTTTTTTAACATGCTATTCTTTTTTTGTGGTACCTACTCCCTGTATTGTTTATCTCTTGGATCAAGAGATAAACCAACATGTATTGCAAAAATACAAGATTTTGAAGTCTCTAAATACTTAAAAGGAAAGTGAGCTCAAAGCAAGCTGCTCTGTACTGTGATAGCTGAGCAGAGCCAGCCGTGGCTGTGCTTGTGCTTTGAGTCAAAGCCCAGGTTTTGTACAAGTGTTTTTAGTGGTGTATTTAAACCCAATTTAGAGATTTTTCTAATTTCCACTTACTGTGCAGATTTGCAATGGAACGTGACAGAGATGCTTCGGGTGTTTTGTTGTTACTGGGCTTCCTTTATTTAATGTAGACATAATTGTCATCATTTTCTCCAGACTTCAAGTTAGGTGGTAATTGCAGTAGCACTTAGGCCAGTCTTCCCTTGTCTGTATTTAGTGTTTATCTGCATTTTTTTCAGGCTGTAGGCTACTGCAGATAAGGAATACCTTTCATTACTCCCAGAGCTTTAGTCAGCATGGAAGAAAATGTTGAGCATACTGCCATGTGCATTTAGCCTTGTCTTACGTTTGTTGGCCACTAGAGAGGTTAAGTGGAATAAGATCTTCCAAACTTTCATACTGTTGGGTTTCATCCTTATGCCACTCACATCTTTATTCACATATTGACTGTTTATAAAAGGAAAAGCTCGAGTTTTTTTCTTAGTGGTGTTCCCTGGTGCAGTTGCTCAGGCTGCCTTAAGTCTCTAGAATACATGATCACAGCAAGATGTCGGTAGTTAGCAATGATCTTCACTAAACTTTGTAACAAAAGCTACTTATGTTGATTCTAATGTATTCCCACTCTAGAGCTGTAGTATCCTACACTTAGGTGTAGTGCACTTAGTTCCCATGCTCACTGAAATAATATTTTCTTCCTCAGAAATTTCGTCTCCAGCTTATCCATGACTATACATTATTCAAAGATATATTCTAGAACTCGTAAGTCAGCTGCTTGCAATCATTTGGCAGAGGAATGTGCAGGTATCACAATTCCTAGGTGTGCCTTTTCTTCCAAAATACAGCGTGGTTTCCTTGACAATGCTGGGCAGCAGAGGTGTTCCCTAGCAGGCACAATTAGCTTTCTGAAAGCAATCAGATTGGAAATGAGAGAAGAGAGTGGAATGGGGTTAGACTGCAAACCATACAGGTAAATTGTTTTAAGTGTAACTTGCATATACTTTACGTGGGGAAGAGAGGGAACAGAATGCAAAGTATTGCACTTGCTGGAACTTAAGGAGCGAGTCAGTTTTAACCAGTGCAAGAGCTGGTAATGCAAGAATATGCACTAAAACACAGGAGAAGTGAAGACAAAGCTGTTGAGAGTTGATTGCAGCCCCTTTTGGCCTGTCATTCTCAGAGAACTTAGCAGTTGCTCAAGCAGAGGAGAGATTTCACAAGCACGCTTGGTATTATCAAAATGCATCAAGATACAACTACTGCTGTTTAAATTCCCCTTCCATTCCATGTATCGCTTCTCCAAGCAAGAGATGGAAAACTTCCAAGATGAGAAAAATATGCTGTTCATGCATTCTAGACATCTTATACAGAGGAAATATGCACTTTACTCACTTTGCTGTGGGATCATGAGAGTTCAGAAAAATGTAATGATAGTCATGAGGAAGGCTGGCCAGAGAAATAGCTGCAACCTCCTTGGGGCTGCATATATTGATTGCACTTAACAAGTGAGAAATAGTCAGAAGTGTTGGTTACCTCTTCATCAGTTTGTCATTTTTCTCAGGGCTAAGATAAACAGGATTAGGTCTGACTAAGTAACAAAGTAAGCAAATCTCCTCAAAAAGTTCTTCCTGAAATTCCAACGGAATTATCTTCCTTCTCTCTTGCAATTGCAGTTTCAGAGCTAGAAGTGGGAGCCCTAGGTAATAGCAAGGTAGCCATAACTTTGGCTGTTAGGGTTTTTATGTGATCTTAAAACCAAATAATGCTGCCA